TTAGGGTTTAGGGTTTAGGGTTTAGGGTTTAGGTTCACATGACCCTACATTCCCTACATGTTCGACTTCGAGGAGAACCTAGTGGCCAGGTTGAAGATGGCAGTCCAAAGCAGGAACACTGGGGGTCGGAATAAATTACTCATTGTCTTTTCTTAGGGCCCCTCGGTAGTTGTACTTATAATGGCCTCCAAAAGCCCTAGATGAGTTGTTGGTTTGACCGGGTTGACAGAACAAGGGAGGGCCTTCTGGTCCCTGTGCATTGATGTCTTCGGCATCTCAGTGCCGGGCAATGTCGTGCCTTGGGGAAGATGCGAGAACGCAGGCAGATCCCCATGCGCTGGACAATGGTAGCCTGGAGGAGACTGCCTTATGGTCGCCTTTGCTTCCAAGAACCCAGAACTCACCTTCGAAAGGTCGCTGACGTGACTGTCACGTTCTGCTTCTAGTCTCACCCAAAGGGTCCATGTACCCATCTAGTATATACTTGGGCCTTAAAGGGGTTCCTATACAGTAGCTTTGGGGCCCAAGTATGTACTATATGGGTACATGGACCCTTAGGGTCAACGCATTGAAGACGGCGTCTCCCATCCCCCTCGGAAGGAGATGATCCGGGAGCACCACGCAATCCTCATGCGCGAGCTGTTCAAGCAGCAGGATGCGCTGTATGCCCTGCAGCGTTGGAGTCAGGACAGCTTGGGGGCACTTGTTCTCAACTCGGGTTCTTGCATAGATGCCGTAAGCACCCTGAGCCCTAAACCCTAAACCCTAAACCCTAAACTAAACCCTAAACCCTAAACCCTAAACCCTAAACCCTAAACCCTAAACCCTAAACCCTAAACCCTAAACCCTAAACCCTAAACCCTAAACCCTAAACCCTAAACCCTAAACCCTAAACCCTAAACCCTAAACCCTAAACCCTAAACCCTAAACCCGAAACCCGAAACCCGAAACCCGAAAACCCTAACCCTAAACCCTAATCGGACTTCGAAATTCCGAATGAACCGGTCTGCATACAGAGACCACGGCAACCCTCGGAGCTTTTGAATGAACACGACTCTCGAGCTTTCCGTAAACCGTAAGCCCTCTTCTTTTCACGTTCGATACACCTCAACAAGAGCCCACTCTGCTTCTTCTCGCTTCAAGGGCCAGAAGAACAACCCCCCCCCCCCCCCCACCCCCTCACCCGTTTTCCTCTCTTCCTCTTGCCCCCGGCCTCTTCCTCGCCCCTAAACCCTAAACCCTAAACCCTAAACCCTAAACCCTAAACCCTAAACCCTAAACCCTAAACCCTAAACCCCTAAACCCTAAACCCTAACACCTAACCCCTAAACCCTAAACCCTAAACCCTAAACCCTAAACCCTAAACCCTAAACCCTAAACCCTAAACCCTAAACCCTAAACCCTAAACCCTAAACCCTAAACCCTAAACCCTAAACCCTAAACCCTAAACCCTAAACCGTAACCCTAAACCCTAAACCCTAAACCCTAAACCCTAAACCCTAAACCCTAAACCCTAAACCCTAAACCCTAAACCCTAAACACTAAACCCTAAACCCTAAACCCTAAACCCTCTCCCTGCAGCCTCCTCCTGGCGTCTCTTCGCGACCTCCTCCCTGGTTGAGGCTTACACCGGCCTCTTCCTAGCCCACCGGCCTCTTCTTAGCCTCTTGTGGGGCCTCCCCAGCCTCTTCAGACTCCGTTAAGATTGGTTGCAAGAAGCAGTGTCACCATTTTCTTGAAATACAAGACTGAAACATGCAATTTCGAAAGCCCAGGCAGTGGAATCATAAAATGACTCCTTTGTCCAATAGAGGTCTCCCTGGCAAGCTGAAACTTGACGACACACTGATTGGTTGTTGGCTTCCTAGGATGCCCAGTACTACCCTTTTTCCCTTTTTTTGGGGGTGTAGGTTCCCTTATAAACCCCTTTAAGCAAAAAAGGGCACCCTTTTTAATCCTAGGATTCTGGGCAACCTAGCTTCAACACCTCAGATAGTAGCAGCACCTAGGGTTTTCTTCATGGAAGCGGGCGTCGCGCCATTTTGTCCCGGTCCCTCAGTGTGAGAAACAGAAGTACATGCGTGCAAAAGCACCGGTCGAGCTAGCTCTGCCCCTTTGGCATGATAGGAATGCTCAGAGGGTTTAGGGTTTAGGGTTTAGGGTTTAGGGTTTCGGGTTTAGGGTTTAGGGTTTAGGGTTTGGGGTTTCGGGTTTAGGGTTTATGGTTTACGGTTTAGGGTTTAGGGTTTAGGGGTCGTTGTTGCAAGCTGCATCCCGGACACACACTAAAGCCAGGAAGACCCGCAACCTTCAACCCAAAAACTTGGGATGTTCCCCCTTATGCAAAAACAGTCCTTAATCGGGATTATAGTACACCCTATTCCCCCTTATACGAACAGTCCTTAATGGAGATTATAGTAGCCCCGGGAACGTCCCAACCTTAAAACCATTGTTGCCAGGACTTTTCTGTGCCGAGTCCGAGTAGCCGAATACAAGCAGCGTTGGAACGGCCGTCCTTCGCAATGCAGGCCGTAAACGCAAAAACATCTGAAGCCTGCGCTTTAGGCTTTTGACATATAAAGGGTTCATGGTAGTCATAAGTTGGGTTACAAGAACCTTAAGCACCGCTTCAACTAGCGTTAGCTTTAGCCACCCTGGTTTTGACCCCGCTACCCCTGAAATTCAGGCACTTTTCCCCATCCAGGGTCTGGATGGTTTTGGCGGTTGTGGTTAACTTTGGCTCACAGCTTAAGTCTTGTATGCCCCCCCCCCCCCTCCATCCCGGTGGCCATGCTGAACTCCAATGAGGGCCGGTCTAAGTGAGGGACGTGAGCTCGATTTTGGAAGGAAGACAGTACAAAAGGTGACCCCAACTACGATCAATCCCCCCTCATAAGGCATTCCATTCTCGACTGGTATCTGTAGCTGGGCCCTCATTGAGTGCTCATTGATGTTTGCGTCTTTGGTGCTTTGCTGCATGCGGTGGTGCAGTGGATGACGGTTGGTGATTGTACGAGATGAGCGGGTGAGGCATGTCCAGCTTTACTTCGCCCGAAACCCTAAACCCCGAGCCCTAAATTGTAAACCCTGAACCCTAAACCCGTATAGGTCGTCACGTGCCCTTGAGTCCTTATGTGACTGCCCTTTTGCTACTGTTTTGAACCCCCCTACAGGACTCAAGGCTCCCTTACAAAGCAAAAAACCACAAAAAGGTGGCCCTTATCATAAGATGGCTACTGGGCTAATCTGGGCTACCAAGTAACAAGACCTTGCTTGAAGGTTCAGGGTACTTATAGCCCAATTATCCGTGTGATTATCACCCACTTCTAAGCCCCTGAAGTACCCTAATAGGGTTACAATTGGGTTATACGTACTAGTAAGTACCATGAACCTCCAAGTAGACCCCCTAAACCCTCAACCCTAAACCTTAAACCCTGGTTTAGTAAGTACCATGAACGCCCAAGTGAGGCCGGCGGCCAAAGCAAGGAAGCGAATGCCAAAGGCCAGACGCAGACCTCAATCGAGGCGAGAGGTTTGTATAATCATGGGTTCCCCTACTGCAGGGTTTAGGGCTTAGTGTTTAGGATTTCGGTTCAGGGTTTAGGATCAGGGTTTAGGGTTTCCCCTACCTAGGCTCCTCCCATTGTTCAGACTATTTAGGGATAAGCCGAAGTAAGGTGATCCAAGGGGGGGAACCTCGGGGTGGGGGGAGGGGGGGGGGCGAAGACGTTTTATTGGAGGTAAGCAATGATCCTGAGTTTAGGCCTAAGCCCCTAAAGGGAATGGGTTAGGGTGGCTTTGCCGCCTTGGACGGCGTGGGGTGGGAGAAAGGTATTAGACGGCCTTCCACAGTCGGGCCAGAGCTGCTCTTCGCACCTGACGAGGCTTTCGAGCCTCCGCTGCATCCTAACCTTCACAGCATCTACGCCATATTACAGCAAACCCTGAACCCTAAACCCCAAACCCCAAACCCTAAACCCTAGACCCTAAACCCTTAACCTCCAAGCCCTTCCGAGCCCAAACCGTCAAGCTCTCCACAGCAGGTGGGCGGCCAGCAGTCTGTGGCCATCAAGTCCCACTCCCCCGCAGAGTCTATACCGACCTCCGGCATTGTGTCGCAAATCCAGGCGCTGGGGCAAGCCCTAAGACCTACAGCCCTAAAGCCCTAAAGCCCTCAAACCCTAAGCCCTAAAAACCCAAAAACCCTAAAACCCTAAAACCCTAAACCCCTAAGACCCTAAAACCCTAAAACCCTAAAACCCTAAAACCCTAAAACCCTAAAACCCTAAAACCCTAAAACCCTTGAACCCTTGAACCCTTGAACCCTAAGCTTAAACCCTAAACCTTAAACCCGAAACCCTTTGGGTCAGCGCCGGCTTGCATTGCAAAGTAATAGGCGGGCAAAACCCTTAACCCTAAACCGTAATCCCTACACCGTAAACCCTAAATCCTAAACCCTAAACTCTGAACCCTAAACCCTCGAATATAAGGGGCAGCCCTATTTCGCGAAATACCCATATACGCGCCCGTGGCCCCATGTAGAGTGTGTAGTAGATGCATACGAACCTGAAGTTCAGGTCTCGCAGCTAAAGACTGTTCACGAAACTCTGGCATGGATCCTCCCTAAGCTAAACCCTAAACCCTAAACCCTAAACCCTAAACCCTAAACCCTAAACCCTAAACCCTAAACCCTAAACCCTAAACCCTAAACCCTAAACCCTAAACCCTAAACCCTAAACCCTAAACCCTAAACCCTAAACCCTAAACTCACATGATTTGAGGGGTATTCCTTCATCAAGACATATAGGGCCTCTCAAGAACCCGACCCTGGAGTTGCTGCAGCCCACGATTCCTACTTGAAGTGCTTTAGGGTTTAGGGTTTAGGGTTTAGGGCTTAGGGCTTAGGGCTTAGGGCTTAGGGCTCCGGGTCTGGGTAGTTCTATGTAGTTTCCAAAGCTAGGATCTACCCGTGAACAGCAGAGGTCGCACCTCGTTACACGATGTCGCTGGAAGAGCGGAAGCGATGTGCCTCCCTCGTTTACCCCAAGACCCTAGGGGCTTTAGGATCTATGGGGAAATGGTTTAGGGTTTCGGCTTACAGAGAACTCCAGAAAGTTGGAACATGGCAAAAGGATGATGAGAGCTGAAATCCATTGTAGTACACCTTTTGGGGTGTGGGGATGAGGATGTTCCAACTGTTGGGAGTTTACTGTAAGGGTTTAGGGTCTTGAGGATTCCTGAGTTGTCGCTTTGGGCAGGCGCGTGCCGGAGCAGGGAAGAAGGTCGACGTCACCCCGAAGCGGACTGCAACTTGCATTGAAGGAGGTTCGGACGTTAGGTACCCGACAGTTTTTCGGCCTGATATGCACTTATATGTAACCCCTCATCGAGGTCCCTAGAGAGCTAGGCTAAGTCCTTGAGCAAGTACATATTTGTGGGTGCACAAGATGCAGAAAGTCAAGTGGACTTGCTTGTAGCACTTACCAGCTCTGTTGACTTCGCAAGTCTACGTAGTATCCCCTAGAAACCCTATTTATCATCCCCAAGACCCACCTTACTAACCCTAATTTTAAATCCTAAACCCTAAACCCCAAACCCCAAACCCCAAGCCCCAAGCCCCAACCCCCAAACCCCAAACCCCAAACCCTACATACTAAGCCAACAAGGCTTCCAAGCAGGGGAAAGGCATCTGCTATCCCCCCTCTGTCTGACACTCCAAAAAATCCTACGAGGCGCCTCAGAGGGCTTAGGGTTTAGGGTATAGGGTTTCGGGTTTAGGGTTTAGGGTTTAGGGCCCATGAAACCCCCCCCCCCCCCCCGCAGCTGTTCGTTGGAGCCCATGAGGTGAAAGAGAGGCTTCGGAGCTTTGTCGCCGACGGGCCCCTGGACTTGGTGGCAGGCACTTCCCTCAAACTTTCAAGCCCTGAATCCTTAACGTGTTTTAGTTTTTTGTTTTTTGTTTGGGGGTTTAGGGTTGAGGGTTTAGGGTTAGGGTTCAGGGTTCAGGGTTTAGGGTTTAGGGTTGAGGTTTGAGGGGTTTGAGGTTGGAGTCGTTGCTAGTATCCCCTTATGGTCCCTAGATAATTACACTAGAATCCCCCCCCCCCCCCCCTCCCCCCCCCCTGCCCCCCCCCCCCCCCCCTCCAAAAAAAAAAAACAAGCAAAAAGCAAAACCTATTCTTTATTCAGGCCCCTAAGTTTTAGGGCCCTAAACGCTAAACCGTGAGTAGAGGATGTGTTGACCCAGTCTGCATCAGATTTAGGTGTCTTCAGAGCTTCCTGGGTTGAGTCGGATATGACTTTTACTCTCCACGGTTGCCCTACTCCATGCATAACACCATGCACCATAGAGCCCATCGAATCTCAATTTCCACTGGCGGCCCCTAATTCCCGCCCATCCCACCTCAAGGTTTCGGGTTTCTTGTTGAGATTTAGGGTTTAGGGTTTGGGGTTTAGAGTTTTTGGTTTGCAGGTGCCGTCGTCCTGATTAACGCAGCCTTCCTCATCATTGAGCATCAGAATCGAGGGGAGGTTGCCGAGAAAGTATTGTTCTCATACCCAGTTTCGCCGGAGGATGTCGACAGGCCCCGGCTATTTGAGATTATGGAGTATGTCTTTCTTGCTTTCTATGTGTGCGAGACGCTTCTGAGAATGGTGGTGCTGCGGACGATGTGGTACTACACGGCAGAGGACTGACGTCTTGTAAGACTTCTCTCGTTTAACAGTGCAACTGAGAACCAAACACACAACTCCCGCAGCCCCTATCATCCGCCAAAGCAGTTTGAAGGGGCCAAGCCTGTCCAAGTCCAAAAAGTCGCAGAGCCCTAATTAACCCAAAACCCGAAACCCTCAACCTAAACCCTAAACCCTGAACCGCAACCTTAAACCCCATCAAGCCTCAACCCTTCAAAAGCCTTCAAAGCCTAAACCCTAAACCCTAAACCCTAAACCCAAAACCCTAAACCCTAAACCCTAAACCCTAAATTTTTGCCGCAGGGCGGCATCATGTGGGGGAACTTCTTCGATGCGCTGATTGTCGCCTTCGGTGTGTCGGACGTATTGATTCTTTGTGGTGCTTTACTGTAACTTTGTTAAACCCTAAACCCTAAACCCTAAACCCTAAACCCTAAACCCTAAACCCTAAACCCTAAACCCTAAACCCTAAACCCTAAACCCTAAACCCTAAACCCTAAACCCTAAACCCTAAACCTAAACTCACATGATTTCTTTGTGGTGCTTTACTGTAACTTTAGATCCTTAGCTTTTTTGGGTTTATTGGCTTTCTGAATAAGGCAGCTAAAAGTTTAATTTTTTTACTACCCTCCTAAGTGCAGCCAAGGATCCAAAAGGTCATGCTTCCTCAAGAAGGACGCGCGGAGACTGTCGAGATTCTTCCCGCCAAGGGAGTTCTCGTCGACTGGCGCGAGCCCTTAGTCCTTCTCACTAAGCTCCTAATGCGTCCTAGCGCAGGACAAGTTAAAAGGGATTCAGCTTTGCGCCACCTTGCCTGCAGGACAGACACACTTTGGCGCTGTTCTGCTGCGTCTTCTCAAGGTCATGAAGGCGCGCTGTGCCATCAAGACACCCGCGCGGTAGGGAGAAACTCAAACCCAAAACCCAAAACCCAAAACCCAAAACCCAAAACCCAAAACCCTAAACCCTAAACCCTAAACCCTAAACCCTAGAGTTTGGGATTTAGGGATCGAACCGTGCATGCCGGGAGGTCCATGTCATGCTCGCGGGGAGAAGCAGCATTGTCTAGACGCCCATGAATCAGGAGAGCACCACACGCTCAAGCGGGGGGTTCCCTGAAATTCGCGGGAGGTTTTTGTAAGGGGATCCCACTCTTTGGGGATCTATAGTGGGGGTTCCACCCCCCCCTATTTACGTAAACCCCCCAAGTGCATTTCTTCATGTTTGTGAAGGTCGCCAAGACGATGCGCCTGATTCGGGTGATGCAGCTCTTCTCGCAGCTCCGGAGCATGGTCGACACATTCCTCGCAAGTTTGTCTTCGCTGTTCTGGTCTATGGTCATGCTGTTCCTGAGGCTCAGGCAAGCAGTTTTTTTGTTGGGTGCTTTTTTGGGTTCTACTTGATATGCTTTGTGATCACCCCAACCCCAACAGCTTGGGATGCTCCCCCTTGTACTAAGAGTCCTTGATTGGGATTGCAATAGGGGCTAGTATAATCCATATTAAGGACTGTTAGTGTTGGGGGGAACATCCCAACCAACAGCCCATTATACCCACAAGACATCCGCTCCACCATGCGATCCTGCTGCGGCCGAGGTTGGTGTGCATGATGATTGCCGCACTGGTTCTTTGTGAGTCCTGCGTGCCATACATTGCTGCCTGTTCTGATCCCTTGAACATGGGTAGGCTCCAAACTTAGGGAATTCGCCTGTGCACACTGAAACTTTTCCACAAGCGCCCAGTGCCCCCTCAAAACCCTAAGCCCAACGCCCAACGCCCTACAAACAGCCCGAACAAGAGTTCCGTAGACTGGTGCTTCCCCTTGATTTAGGAGTTCGGCTCCTGCTTGCGTGTACCTAGTTGGACCTAGTTTCGAGCCAAGGAGTAGCAATGCCAAAGCTAGCCCCCTCAACCTCCAAACCTCGGAACTCCAACAGCTCCCACACTCCCAAACCCCGAAACCAAACCCCTCCCTCCCCCCCTAAACCCCCAAACCCCCTAAAACCCCCTAAGCCTCCTACAAACTCCAACAACCCCCCTAACATCCCCATAGCCTCCCCCCCCACCCCCCGCCGCCAAGGTTGACCCCACAGCAGACATCGAAGCTTGCGCAGCAGAGCGAAAGGCTTTGCAGTTTAGGGTTGAAGGTTTAGGGGTTTAGGGCTTCGGGTCTAGGGTTTCGGGTTTAGGGTTCCCCTATGTAGGGCTCAGTTTAGGGTAAATTGGGTTGAGCTGAGAGTGACCGACCCTGAGCCCATCTCGGCCCTATACCAGCTAGGGTTTAGGGTTTAGGGTTTAGGGTTTAGGGTTTAGGGTTTAGGGTTTAGGGTTTAGGGTTTAGGGTTTAGGGTTTAGGGTTTAGGGTTTAGGGATCAGGGTTCAGGGTTCAGGGTTTAGGGTTCAGGGTTCAGGGTTTAGGGTTTGGGGTTTAGGGTTTAGGGTGTCCCCCGAATGCTAAACCCCCCAACGTAAATACTCTCATCAAAGTTATATTGTAGTCTTGTTTGGGGTGCTAAGGTATTAAGGGTATCACGGGGAGGGGCGTACAAGACCCTAAAACCTAAACCCTAAACCCTAAACCCTAAACCCTAAACCCTAAACCCTAAACCCTAAACCCTAAACCCTAACCCTAAACCCTAAACGCTAAACAATTTCCTGGCTGTTCAAGGAGATGTCAACCCGGGAGTGGCTCTTGATCCGCTATGGCAGCTTCACCCGGGCGATGTACACCATGTTCGAGATTACGTTTCTTGGGCTTCCCTAAACCCTAAACCCTAAACCCTAAACCCTAAACCCTAAACCCTAAACCCTAAACCCTAAACCCTAAACCCTAAACCCTAAACCCTAAACCCTAAACCCTAAACCCTAAACCCTAGACCTGGGTCCTCGTTGGCTATAATTTTACATCTTTGTTATCATAAAACCCAAGAAGGATTAACACTGATAATTTTTAATATAACCCCAACAAGGAGCCAGAGACCCCAAACCCGAAACCGAAACCCTAAGCCCTAAACCCCAAACCCTCAGCCCCACACCTTAACCCTGAACCCTAAACCCTAAACCCTTAGCCCCAAGCCCTGAACCCTAAACCCTAAACCCTTAGCCCCAAACCCTAAACCCTGAACCCTCAACCCTAAACCCCTAGCCCCAAACCCTAAACCTTGAACCCTAAACCCTAACCCCTTAGCCCCAAACCCTAAACCCTGAGCCCTGAACCCTAAACCTTAAACCCTTAGCCCCAAAACCCTTACCCTCCTGAACCCTGAAGCCTAAACTCTAAACCCTTAGCCCCACACCCTAAAACCCTAAGACCCTAAGACCTAAACCCAAAAGCCAAAACCCAAAACCCCAGAACCTGCCCTAGGTTCAGCGGCGGTTGGCCTGGCCTCATTCGGCCACTGGTGGATGAGGTGAGCGTCCTCTTCGCCATCCCGTAGCCCAGCTTCTGAACCATAGGGGACATAGTATCACAAGGACTAGGTAGCCCCTTGGGGGACATTCTTGTATTTTCCCTTACAGGCTTTAAGAGGATCAGACTTAGGAATATGTTTCAAGGGTTTTAAGGGCCATCCTAGTTTTGGGTTTAGGGTTGAGAATTTCGGGTTTAGGGTGTAGAGCCACCCTTTTTTCTCTTGGGTTTGCCATAAAACCCCCAGAATAGCGTAACCCTTGGAAGGTAAGGGAGGTTTGGGGTTAAGGGTATTTGCCTTTCTCCTCCTTGAAAGCGAGTACTCCAAACATGGCTTGCTCCCTCCGCGCTTGCTGATGTTGTTTGCTTGGCTGCAATTGCTCAGGAAGGCCATGAACTGATAGACCCCTTGTAGGGAATCATACATACATATATATATATATAAATATTGACATACATACATTCTGGAAACAACATTTGTGTACATGGGCGTTCCCCAGAATGATTGCAGGCATTCACTGCTCCATTCCCCTAATTCACCGACCCCCAGCCCTAGCCACAGAGCCCGAAGCAAACAGAGCCAAGGTGCTTGATCTATGTCGTCGCCATTGTCTTTGCCGCCCTGAGGCTCATCACAGCGCTATTCGCCCTTAGGCAGGCCCTTGTGACATTTTATGTGTTCCTGGTTTCTCTTCCCCCTGTTTGGTATCGGGTTTAAGGTTTAAAGGATCCCCGAACCCTGAACCCTAAGATTCTAAACCCTGAGCCCTAGCCCTAAACCCTAAACCCTAAACCCTGAGCCCGAAACCCTAAACCCTAAGCCCTAAACCCTAAATCCTAAACCCTAAACCCTAAACCCTCCATTTTTGTTTTTTTGCTTTTCAGATTGTTTTTTTTGGGTGGGGGGGACCGAGGTCCGCTCCACCATGCAGCTGGGACGAAGTTCAGTGCAGGGCGAGCTCAGCTTCGGGTTAGGGTTTAGGGTTTAGGGTTTGGGGTTTAGGGTGTAGGGTTTAGGGTTTAGGGTTTAGGGTTTAGGGTTTAGGGTTTAGGGTTTAGGGTGACAGGGCCTCTGACTTCAGAAAGCTTGCCATGGTTTATGAGCTGTAGTTTTTTTTTTTTTTTGGGGTGGGGGGGGGGGTTGGGGGTGGGGGGGGGGGGGTGGGCGTTTACACTTTGGATTTCCACTAGCAGACCCTGAGTCCGAAACCATCAACTACATAAACCCTACTTCAACCTAAGCCCTAAACCCCAAACCTAAACCCTAAACCCCAAGCCCTAAACCCTAAACCCTAAACCCTAAACCCTAAACCCTGGACCCTAAACCCTACACTCCTTTCAGAGGCAGGTTCTGAACAGCGACGCAGCAGCAGCTGTCCTCGAGCGCATGGAGCGTGCCTCAGAGCTCCAGGCCTCCCAAGGTCGTCGGTTTAGGGTTTAGGGTTTGGGGTTTAGGGTTTAGGGTTTAGGGTTTGGGGTTTAGGGTTTAGGGTTTGGGGTTTAGGGTTAGTGTTTTGGGCTTTGGATTTGGGGGTTTGGGTTGAGAGATGCCAAGGGTGTAGTCGGGAGTTTTTGTCAAGGTCGCTTTGTACGCCCTAAACCCTAAACCCTAAACCCTAAACCCTCAACCCTCAACCCTCAACCCTAAACCCAAAACCCTAAACCCTAAACCCTAAACCCCTAACCCCTTCACCCTATAAAGCCCTAAACCTCCGACTCGCTGTCAGGGGAAGTTGTTGGAGGTCTTTGCACACGCCGACGTGGATGGCGACGGGTACCTGACCCTGCAGGAGTTTTAGGGTTTAGGGTTTAGGGTTTAGGGTTTCGAGGCACTGCGGCTTCGTCTCTCGGGTGAAGAGGTGTTTTGGGTTTAGGGCTGACGGTGCGTTTGACCCTGAAGGAGTTCGAAGCACTGTTGCAGCAGAGTGAGATCTTGCACTACTTGAGTGTTCTGGAGCTTGACATTCGCGACGCGCGGGTGCTCTTCCACATTCTGGCCGATGGAGACGAAACGCTCTCAGTCGAGGAATTCTGCGGAGGCATTGCGAAAGTGCGTGGCAACGCCAAGTCGGTCGACATCGTCCCTGCGTCATTGTTGAAAATCATTTTACATTTGTATGAATACTTAAACCCAATAGGGAACAACAAACCTAAACCCTAAACCCTAGGCCCTAAACCCTAAACCCTAAACCCAAAACTCAAAACCCTAAACCCTAAACCCTAAACCCTAAACCCCAAACCATAAACCCCAGACCCTAAACCCTAAACCCTAAACCCTAAACCCTAAACCTAACCCCCAAGCTGGTGCAGGTCCAGCTCATGCACGAAACCGGGAAGCTGCGCAAGGAATGCCGCGCGATGTTGGAAGCTTTCGGAGCCCAAGTACTCTCTTAGAGAACCAGGGCCGAAAGGTCTCCTAGGGTTTAGGGTTCGGGGTTTAGGGTTTAGGGTTTGGGGTTTAGGGTTTTGGGTTTGGGGTTTAGGGTTTAGGGTTCAGGGAGGCGAACATGTTGAGTTTTTCTCAGCGGAAAAAAGCTCGCCCCTGTACGAATAGACTGTACCCCCCTAAACCCTAAACCCTAAACCCTAAACCCTAAACCCTAAACCCCAAACCCCAAACCCCAAACCCTAAACCCTAAACCCTAAACCCTAAACCCTAAACCCTAAACCCTAAACCCTAACCCTAAACCCTAAACCCTAAGCCCTAAACCCCCCCCCCCCCCCCCCCCCCAAACCCTATTCTAATGAGTAAGGCCCCGATATTCTGCCCTAAATGTAATCGTAGAATGCGCGGTAAGGAGCAGGTGCATGTAGCATTGGGCCTAGTTCATGAAAGGTCTTCTGGGTAGTTACAGGGGGTTTAGGGTTTAGGGTTTAGGGTTTAGGGTTTAGGGTTTAGGGTCTAGGGTCTAGGGTCTAGGGCTACAAGGGATGATCTTGTCAATCCGCTGGGCTCCTGCATGTAGGGTATGTTGCTCCTCGAAGAGGGAGCCTCCCGGTGAATACTCTCCGCAAGACAACTGCTGAGTTCCTTTTGTGTGGAAAGGGGTTTTCGGGTTTGGAGGTCGCAGAGTTCACTGTTTAGGCTTTGCTAAGTCGGCTCTTGGGACACTTTCTATTTTCCCTTATGGGGTTTAATTAAAGAGGATCATGACTCAGGAGTATATGTTTCCGAGGGGTTTAAGGGGGCCACCCTAGTTTGGGGTGTAGGGTCTACTAACAAAACAAACCGTACTTACAACCCAACTCTAGCCCCTTTTTTGGGATGCCAAAGGGGCTGACAAGCGGGGTATAACTACACTTACTAACTGGCTATTAAGTACGTAATATATATATATATATATGTGTATATGTGTAATATATATATATATATCTATATATATATATATATATATTATAATATAACCCTGAACCTCCAGGTAGGAGGTTGCAAGGTGGTCGAGGAGCAATCTGGAAAGCCTGCCAGGTGCGTGGTGACTCTCGAGGTGTGTTTTTTTGTTTCACCGCTGTGGCGCCTGTTGCCAGACAAATTCAAAGAACCGCCATACCCTGAAAGGTGCAAGCTTCCTACGGTCCAAAAGAACCGGAGGGTTTAGGGTTTAGGGTTGAGGGTTTAGGGACACATGCCCCTCGTCACTGACAGGAGACCAAGAACACTTCCCCTGAATCTAGTTTCTTTGAAGAGCTCTAGGGGGGGAAGCTCTCAAACCCGAAGCCCTTCTTGGAGGTTCATGGGTGATTATCAATAGGGAGATACGTCCCGCGCCCCCCGCCAAGAAAAGCAAAGGCAAGCCAAAGCCAGATATATCTCATCCCTCGATACCCTACTTGCAAAGCTAATCCTCCAAGTCTTCTAACCCAGACCCAGCAGGAAGCTTGCGTGAAATGGGGGGGAACCCGACAGGGATCCCAATTCCGGAAGCTTCCCTGGAAGAACAAAAGCGCGCGATCTTTTCATCTTCAGTGTGCACGTCAGGCAGCATCCAGAGTGAGGGTTTGAGGCTTGCCTCCAAAGAAAAGTACTTACCTTTGTGGTGCTTTACTGTAACTTTAGATCCTTAGCTTTTTTGGGTACTTAATAAGGCAGCTAAAAGTTTAATTTTTTACTACCCTCCTAAGTGCAGCCAAGTTACAAGGCTGGGACCTTAATTCCATGGGTCTTTGGGCGATACGTTCCCTGACGCACCTCAAGCAACGACAGGGACTGGGGAGCCGACCTAACCCCGAAACCCTAAACCCTGAACCCTAAGCCTAAACCCTAAACCCTAAACCCTAAACCCTAAACCCTAAACCCTAAACCCTAAACCCTAAACCCTAAACCCCAAACCCTAAACCCTAAACCCTAAACCCTAAACCCTAAACCCTAAACCGGTTGAACCCTACAACGGGAGCTTGACGAATTGGTGAAGAGGACGAGATCTGATTCCCGCCTCCCGGATTGCGGGGTTAGGGCTTGGGTTGACAAGGCTTGCGGGCTGAGTCGGGCTTTAGGTTTTGGGGTTTCGGGTTTCTTGGGCATTGTGGGGCTTATAAGGCTTGTGGGCTCAGAGGGCTCGTACAGGTTTGGGGGGTTTGTAGGGATTTGGGACCGAGACTGGGAGGTTCAGGGTACTTATGACCCAATGTTAAGCGTAGTTAGAACCCAATTATGAGCCCCTTAAGTACCCCTATAGGGCTATAGTTGGGTTATAAGTACAGTTAGAAATGGGTTACTAAGTACCATGCACCTCCATGCAGGGTCGAGAGGGCTTCTGGGGCGCAGAGGGTTTAGGGTTTAGGGTTTAGGGTTTAGGGTTTAGGGGTTTAGGGTTTAGGGTTTAGGGACTTGAACTTGATTTAATTAGGGTTCAGGGTTTAGGGTTTTGGGTTTAGGGTTTAGGGTTTAGGGTGGAATTTCGGGTTTGGAGTATTGGCGACTTGTCCGGGCCGTCGCCTCAAGCAATGAATTGTATTGAACATGAGATCCCGTATCATTCCCTGTCCCGCCCGGTGACCATGTCCTGCGATCTGGAAGATGTGGTGGTAGAAGCGGGTACCTCGCGCCCTCCGGACGACGACGGCGTGAAGGAGACCACCTTGCATTCACAGCTGCCCCCAATTTTGGGGGGTCGGAATAGCTACCAATAGCATTCCCTGATGGTCCCTTTGTAAGTATACTACAGTAACCACCCAATTCTGATTCTTCAGGGCCCGGTCAAGCCGACGCCGATGTTTTCAATTTTTTTTGGCATATGGGTTGCCAGGTCAAGTGCTCGTGGGGAGGTGATGTGGGAGTGAAGGTGTGAGGAAGCTCCTTCAACTTCTGTGTGCCAGTGCCGGGGCTTGCAGGGTTTACAAACTGGCCCATGCGCTTCTTGTGAGAGGAGATGCTTCGGGAGCACCACGCGATTCTTATGCAGGAGCTGTCGAAGCACCATGAAGTCTTGCATAGCCTGCAGCGCTGGAGTCAGGACTGCTGTTTGGCATGCATGTGGGTTTAAGCTTGGTGTTCCCCCAATTATTCTAACAGCTCCTTAGTAGGGACTATAATAGGGGGTACTATACTCCCCAGTACGGACTGTTAGGATAAGGGGGAACATCCCAAGTTTAAGCCCCAAGCCCTCAACCCTAAACTTACACTAAGAAGTAGAATCGAGATTGCGAGGGGCCACTCTCATAGAATCCTTGCTGATCCTACTCCCCCTACTTCAACCCTAAACGCCCTAAAACCCTAAAAACCCTAAAACGCCCAAAAACACTAAAACCCTCAAAACCTAAAAGCCGTCAAAAAACATAAAACCCTAAAAACGGTCAGAAAACCTAAAAACCCTAAACACCCCAAACACCCTAAAAGCCCTGAAAACCCTGAAAGCGCTAGAAACCCTAAAAACCCCTAAGCCCGCAGTGGCGAAGCCAGGACGTCACTTTATCAGGCCGCCAGATGCACAAAGGGTCCAGCTTTGTGGCTTGGTAGCTGAATGAGTACCACTTTACTTACACCGTTTTGGGATACTCGAATCCCCTCTAGACCTGAAAGTACCCTAAGCCCTGAGCCCTAAACCCTAAACCCTAAACCCTAAACCCTAAACCCTAAACCCTAAACCCTAAACCCTAAACCCTAAACCCTAAACCCTATAAACCTTACGAACCCAACAACTAAGGCGGCGCCGGCTGGCAATCGTCCGGAAGCTGGCCTCCAGAGGCTGCAAACGCCGCTCAAGGCCGTCAGGGTTTAGGGTTTAGGGTTTGGGGTTTAGGGTTTAGGGTTTGGGGTTTGGGGTTTAGGGTTTGGGGTTTGGGGTTTAGGGTTTGGGGTTGGGGTTGGGGTTTCGTTTTTTTTTTGATTTAGGGTTTGGGGTTTGGGGTTAGGGTTTGGGGTTTAGGGTTTAGGGTTTAGAGTTTAGGGTTTGGGGTTTAGGGTTTGGGGTTTAGGGTTTAGGGTTTGGGGTTTAGGGTTTGGGGTTTGGGGTTTAGGGTTTGGGGTTGAGGGTTGGGGTTTGGGGTTTCGGGTTTAGAGTGTAGGGTTTGGGGTTTAGGGTTTAGGGTTTGGGGTCTTGGGTTTTGGGTTTAGGGTTTGGGGTTTTGGGTTTAGGGTCTAGGGCTCAAGGTTCTAGATAGCCCAATACGCCTCAAGGAAGATTACCGAAAGTTCATAGCGGAGTCCTCTACGTCAAGTGTACTGGGCTCTCTGGGTTTGCGCATCAGCTGGGTTTAGGGAAGCCGCCCAAGATTGCGCGCGCGTTCTTTCCCAAGCTTCGGCACCCTCGAAGCGTGTCTTGGATGACCCAAGAACCCTAAACCCTAAACCCTAAACCCTAAACCCTAAACCCTAAACCCTAAACCCTAAACCCTAAACCCTAAACCCTAAACCCTAAACCCTAAACCCTAAACCTAACCCTAAACCCTAAACCCTAAACCCTAAACCCTAAACCCTAAACCCTAAACCCTAAACCCTAAACCCTAACCCTAAACCCTAGACCCTAAACCGTAAACCGTAAACCCTAAACCCTAAGCCCTAAGCCCTAAGCCCTAAACCTTACCCTTGACCTCGTCCAGACCCTAGATTTACTGGACCTGGAGTCTTTGTCTTGTTTTCCGGCTTGGTGCCCAAGCCCTAAACGCCAAAATGAAATGGGCTCCTATCCCTAGAGCCCTAAACTACCCTAGAAACTACCCTAGACAGCCTAGAAACCTTTACCTAGAAACGCATAGAAACGCTTACAGACCCATAGAAACCATCTGATCCCGGTCGAGTCCCTCTAACCCTAAACCCTAAACCCTAAACCCTGAACCCTAAAACCCAAAACCCAAAACCCAAAACCCAAAACCCAAAACCCAAAACCCTAAACCCTAAACCCTAAACCCTAAACCCTAAGCCTGCAAGGCGTACAGCCAGCGTTCTCTGCCCACCCAGT